TTTATATTTTTATATTTATTTTTATATTTATTTTATATTTATTTCAATACTTTTTTTACACGTCACTTATTAGAAATTAATAATATTACTTTAGTATGATTAATAATACTAATTTGGTGTGAAAAATATTTATTTAATATAAAAAAATCTTTAAAACAGAAACATTTATTTGAATTGAGTAGTTTTTTCAGTGTAGAAATTTGTTACAAAACTAGCTGATAAACATGGTTTAATGCCGCTTTGCTCTATATTTTGCAGATAAAATAAAAATGCGCGAGATAATGGTAAATTAAATAGCCAGTTGAATTTGCTGCAGCGTTAAAGGTCCCTCGAGCAAGTTACATCGTTATTATTGCTTTTATATCTGATTTTCTTGTTTGTATATGTTTCAGTATGAGAGAGAGAGCACTCGGTGCATGTCCGTAGATTTTGTTGCCGGAAATAAAGTCTCGCTTCTCGCGATATCTCGAGTCTTTCGCGTTATCCGATGGAAACACCGACCTTACGATGTACCACGATGGGGTAGATAACGCTAACCTCTTACGATATTTAACGCTCCTCTCCGACGAGAACTGTAATTCCTTAAGACGCCATCTCCCAGTTACTACGTCTTGTCCCTCCCTGGTAAGTTGCCTTACGCAATCATTGCCGCCGACGGGATTTTTCCCAAGGGAGGATGCGTGGAACGCCGGGATTTTTATTTGCTTATTTGGAGCAAACACGCGGCGGCGACTGTTCTCGCCGTGTTTTAGTATTATTGCCCAGCAACTATCTCGTGGAAAAGATTCTCTTTGGAAGAGAGAGCTGGACTATGTTTCTTTTATTTTTATATCTATTATTTGTCTTTTACAGCCGTGTACTTATATGTCTTTACAAGTTGTAGCTGTAGATAAAGCAACGTGACCGAACTTTAAGCTATTCTCGCGAAATTTCGGGGACTGTAATGCATCTCTTTGCATTTTATTCTTATTCCAGAAATGCCGAGAGTATCTGCCAGCGCTTGCAGAATTTATATTTCGACTAGTGAACATTTTTTTCATAAATTATTTAATTTAAAACTTTTATTTTTCGTACATAATTTTCTTTCGATCTTACAATTAAATTTCGAGACATCTGAAAAGAGGTATAAATTTTTAATATAAAATAATGATACATCTAAATCATGATTTTTATATTGTTACTTTAATTGGATGCAGAAGCATTAATTATTATTATATATATGTAATTATAATAATAATAAAATATATGTAATAATATATTGTATATATACATGGAGAGAATTTTTCGTTATATTTTCGCAAAACTCACTAGAAATTTTATCATGTTTGGTAATTAGCCGAAAATTACCATGCTGCATGTTAATTGAAAATATTATACTGCATTTTAAACTTTATATAAAATATTTTATATGTTTATAGGTTTATTTTATAACTTTTTTTATATGCATTCTATTTAAAACATTTATAGAATTATAAGTTTTTAACATAGTACATGTTTAATATATTAAAATATTAAATATTAAATATCAATATTATCCTATTGTAATAGATATAAATATTTTTGATCGTGGTGCAAATGTTAATTAGACAAACTCTTATAAAATTCTTGATGAATACCCATCACGATTGCCATGATTTTCAGGGATAAATTTAAGAGAAAATTCTTTCTATGTATAATTATAATCTATATAATAATATAACAATAATTACAACCAATCTTTCTACATTTTTCATTTTACATATAATAAATGTAATATTACATAATTATAATAAATGTAATATTACATATAAAAATTTATTTACAATTACAAATGTAATATTACATATAAAAATTCATGTAATATTACAATTACAAATGTAAGATTACATAATATTACATATGTATATAATAAATGTAATATTACATAATTTATGTAATAAATGTAAAATTACATAATTATAATAAATGTAATATTATATATAAAAATTTATTTACAATTACAAATGTAATATTATATATAAAAATTCATGTAATGTTACAATTACAAATGTAAGATTACATAATATTACATATGTATATAATAAATGTAATATTACATTAATTTATGTAATAAATTCTGTACGAAGAAAGGGAAGAAAAATATTGTATTTATCTTGCTGTCGAAATTTGACACGGAGATAAAGCTGAGAAGATGAAACTAATTCCGAAGCTCTCTCTATGGCGCGACGCCTATGAACGCATTATATAGATTAGTTTCAATCAAACTTGATTGTACCTCGTCGACGAGAGGGAATTTCGCTCCGCGCGTATCTCGAATACCGATAAGCTCGTCGAGGGAAAGTAAATAAGAAAGAGAGGCTGAAATATATTATCGTCGCCAACCTCTAGCCGCATTCGTTGTCTCCCCTGAAGGTCCGGGCCATCGTGTTTCATTGCGCAAAACCACCTTCTTCCTTTCGACTCGACCGCTTCCCTTTCCCTGGTCTTTCATCTGATTGTCGAAGCGAGATCGTGGCAAAGGGTTTACGCTCGTCCCCGACGAAACGTGGAAATATTGTGAGAGAATTCTGCTGCAGCAACGCGTCTCATTTGAGTCGCGGCGGGAACCGCTGGCTAAATACAATGTGGAAAGGACTCGTAGTTGAAGCTCTCGGTGCGCGAACCCGGGTTATTTTAATTTTATTCTCATTTTAATTTTACCTCTCTTTAATTCTAAATGAGCCGGTTTCGTTAGAAACGGTACGAGTTTTAAAGCAATACGCGTTTCGATGAAAATGAGAAAAAAATAATATTTATCGCCGGTTTTTCTTTACGGGGTCTTCACGAGGTTGTGTAAAAGGAAACGTAAAAGATAGTATAAGTACAGTGATAATAATATAAATTAAATTGAAGAATGAATAAATACAAATTAAGACAAATTGTTTTAACTAGAGATATGGGTGTATTATTTTGAAAGTAAACTATCCATTGCGTATCTCGTGTTGTAAGTCGTGATAGAAGTACAATTTTGTATTTGTTCAGGAAACAATGTTTAATTTCTATTTAATTACCGAGAGAGTGCGTGACAGTTTTGCTTTGAAATAAATTATTTTCATGGAAATAAATTTAAAAATGGACACTTAATCAAAGCTTATATGTTTCTTTTTTTAATGTGCTAATCGCGTAATGGATTTTTAATGATTCTAGTATACGAGACTTTATAACATAATTTTTTAAATTTTATTTTACGAGTTAAATTGTGTACATACATACATATACTGTATATATATATATATATATATATATATATATATATATATAAACATATATTTTTAATTTCTATACATTTTCAGGAAACTAACTTTTATATGCACGCGTACATACATATATGTATGTTTCTGTAACAATTTGACGTTTCTCGTTATAAAAAAAATAATTTGTTTCAATATAAGTATAAAATGAGAATATAAATGAGAAGGAAAAAATATTGCCGGTTTTCCTTTTAACGTCATATTCTATAGATATAACCATAGTTATAAAAGCAGATTCATTAAAAAAATAATGCTTCACTACCCAGCAATCTATAAAATAATATTCTCGGACAAACCGAGAACGGTCTTTTTTTTAACACTCTTTTAAGACATTTAAGACGTTTTTCCGCCACAAATATTTGCGCGTATCAAAATATACCCATAAAAAATACGCTTATATCTTTAACGAGAATGTTTTATTGCTCTCGTCGGAATAAAAATTCGAGAATTCTCATATAAATTTTTCTCATGATATTGAGTAATATTTGATAACATTTTTTTGGCCTTATTAAATTCACTCTCATGTAAAAAGGAAATATAAAAAATATGATTAATAAAAATATAATTTTAAATACACGGAGAGAATTTTTTATTAAAATTTATTCTGAAAATCATGGTAATCGTGGGACAAAATTTATATTTTATTATTTAATTAAAATATAAAATTAATCGAACATATTTTCGAAGAACACCATTTACACACTATTTTCATCAATTAAGCACGAATCAACACGACTCTTATCAGTCCTCGCGTATCACGTCCATTAAAGCACTCTCTCTCTCTCTCTCGGCGATTTTTAAGTTCCTCAAGGAAAAGGGACGCCCCGGAAGTGTCCGTGCACAACAATCTTCCCTTCCGGCTCTCGATTCAGTTAGTATTAGTAGCTACAATAATCGAAAGATTTTTATGAATTTCTCTGATTAACATTTACCACAATAAAAAATATTAATATGTACACATAATAAATTGTATTATTTATTTCAATATTTAATTAAAATATAAAATTAATCGAATACATTTTATATCTTAGGGTAAATTTCAAGAGAAAATCCTCTGTATAAATATAATTATAAAAGGTATCAAATATATTATAATGTTCAGTCACATTTTCGTAGAACCATAGTATTATTTATTTTAATATTTAATTAAGATATAAAGTGTAAATTTACATGTCAAACTGAACTTTCGGTTCCTATTTTTACTTTCAAGACTGTCATTTTTGCTTGGTTACAACTGACAGTTACCTGATTATTTAGTTATTTCAATATGTATTTTAATTCAACAGCCTGAAGAGGACCCAATTGATGGTCGAAACGTCGTTTCCTTTTTTTAATAAAAGAATTTTAATTTTACCGGTGTTGGTCAATCAATTCTTGCCTAATTTGGTTTTTAAGATATAAAATTAATCGAATACATTTTATATCTTAGAGTAAATTCCAAAAGAAAATCCTCTGTATAAATATAATTATAAAAGGTACCAAATATATTATAATGTTCAGTCACATGTTCGTAGAACCATTACACCATTCCCATCAATTAATCGCGAATCAACACGACTCTTATCAGTCCTCGCGTCCATTAAACCACTCTCTCTCTGCGATTTTTAAATAGTCCTCAAGCGAAGAGGGACGCCCCGGAAGTGGCCGCGCACAACAATCTTCCCTTCCGGCGGTCGGTTTAGATAGCGGTGGCTAACAATAATCGCACCTCACGACTATATATAATTACAGACGGCGGGAGTGCCGAGGGCGTGGGCGACGCACGGTGGCGAGGACGTGCCGGTGTTCGCCATCGGGCCCCTGGCGAGCACCCTGTTCTCCGGCAGCGTCGACCAGAGCTACATCCCGCACGCGATCGCCTACGCCGCCTGTCTGGCCCATCACGCCAGCCGCTGCTCACGTGATCTTGCGGGCGGCAACGCCAGCGACACAATGAGCGCCGCGCCGATAAGCTGTCCCTCGGCGGAGCCCAACAGCGCGGCGATATCCAGCGACGTGATGAACGACCAGGCGCGAAATCAGCCCACGAAATCCGCTGGTCCACCCCATCGTCCACCTCCGTCGCTGCTGCTGCTGACGATCACGACGACGCTGCTGGTTCTCCGGTGTACCTTCGAAAGGACGAGTTAATGCGCCTTTACTATCCTCCTTCCTCTTCCGCGTGTTCCAGAGTGTGGTGGAGAAGCCACTCGAGTAGCCGGGTTGTCCTGATGCGGTAATAAACGGTCGATTGAGCGACCGCAGTGTAAATTTGACGGGAGTGGCCGAGTTTCCAGGGCGAGTGTTATTATCGCTGGTGAACCGTTCAACATATCGTTTGCGCCGGTTTGCAACGATCACGCGGTTGAAAGTCATCGAGAGTTTGTTGGCGAACCAGCGAGATACGTATAAAGAGCGTAAACGTCATTTTTGCGCGTGCTTTTCTTTTTTTATTGGTTCACAGTTGGAATTTTTTTGTTCAAAATTGATATCATATGTCCCAAACGGTCCACAGAAATTTTTGGGTTAATTTAATATAATATATATGGATATGTTAAATGGAGACATAAATATTGTGTTGATATTTTAATACACAAAATAAATGCAAAACTTCGAGTAATTTAAAATAAATTTTGTGTAAAATTAATAACATAATTTTAATGTAAAAATTAATACAAAAAAATGTTAATTTTAGATTTTAGCAGCCCTACTTATGTTATAAAATAGAAATTCAACAGAAAATTTCTGTTGATAGCAGAACATATTTATTGTGTAAAATTAAAAATAGATACACATCGTTTTTACATTTTTTCAGTTCTTTTCATAATTTAACAAAGTTCAATTAACAGAACAGTAATATGTTAAATTAACACATGATCGTATTAAATATTGAACACAAAAATTTTAACGAGGACCGTTTTTAACAAGAAAACCCAAATTTTTCTACCGAACAGTGTTGAACAGAATAATAAATGCTTTTCCGCGGAGCAAAAGAGAATTAATTTTTTTATTAAAATATTTTTTTGTTTTTAATAACAAAATCGGCAGGTTCGCGCTTTGTTTCCATATGTACTTACTTTATAATATCGCAGAGAAGCATTTATTATTTTATTCGATGGAAAATAAAAAGGAGAGGGTGCGCAAGAATGAATGATGTTTTATCGATGAAACAGGACGGCGTTTGGGATTCCCTTTGAAATTTTCGTCGTCGTGAAGAGAATGAAAACGTATCTGCATTCCCCGTGAGATTCCAGTCATCGATTGACAGATCGATTTGATCGGATGTTCGAACAAGAAGATCGATGCGCGACGTTGATGAGAGAGCTAAAACGTCACCCGATGGGGCGGTTATCATTCCTAAATTCCCTCGTGTATTTTCAACCTCGGTGTCTGTCTCTCTCGGGGACACGAGGAACGCGCGATTACTTGTATTATACTTCACGCAAGTTTAATTGATATACGTTCTTGTTTGAGGTCACCGAAAGATTCTACAAACTTTCCGCTAATGACTGAAACCCTCAATGAAGAGCTTTAATAAGCAGATAGGAAGTGAGGCTTCTCGCTCCCTCATATTATTTTAAGAAAGTTTATATGTGTGATTTTATATATTTTTCGATATATTTTTTCCCACTTTGATTAATTAGTCATATTTCGTATGTGAAATATATTTCCATTTTATTCGTTCTGAAAAATGTAGTTCTTGCACGAGAAGATTAATCATTAAATCATTTGATATCGATCGACTCTGCGAAATATCTCGAAATTATTACTCTTTGTAGTTTTGAACTTTTTGATCAATTTAAAAATTCATATTTTGTAATAAAAATCCATTAAAATCATCCGTTGGAAAGAGTAAAAAATGTACGTGAAATTAAACGCATATTTTTTGTCAAAAGTAATTATATTATAAAGTTTATGAACTTTATAAAGTTAAATTTATAAAATTTGCTTGAGATTCCTGTCAAATTAAATATAACACTCTTGGCGTTTTTTGATTAAAAAAGAAGCAAAACTGATTTCGATCTGCAATTTATTAATTAATTTACCTGTCTCTCGAGCAAAGAGTTACATAATTGTCCAAAAAATACATTTCTGCCATGAGAGTAGTGTTTGTTACAACGAACCGAGTGATAACGCGGCCGATCCGATAGTAACTCTCGAATTTTTGGGGAGTTTAAGGTAAATCATAAATAAAATGTAAAATGTAAATATATTAGGAGCAAAGCAGACAATGTGTATAAATATATCTGAGACGTGCCCTCGCATCGAATCATGTAAATTACAGATAAATATATAGCGTTTAATTATCGAATCGATATGGACTCTTCGCCTCAGAACGCACGTTCACATTCCCCGATTCTCGTCACGTCTATTTCATTTTTGCACTTTGTGCAGCCGATCATTTCGAATCGGACAAGAAAGAAAAGCGTTTATAATCGTAATCAATCGATCTTTGACAAATTTCATTTCCGACGACGCGAATGAATTTTTCTACTTCGCATGTCTGACTCTATACTTGACTTGTACTACTTTCATTCCGAGTTTTTCGTAACGGAAATTAGTTTGAGACTATCCCCGAATTACGTAAGATGTTTTTAAATGATTTTTGGTACTTTCTAAGTCCCACCGTAAGATTTTCTTCCCTCTGCATCTTCCATATTATTTTACAATTTTACTAATAATGTTTTCTTAAATATTTTAACTCTGTTTCAGAGACGAAGAATTAATCAAATGTGAGTAAAATTTAAATACATTTTTTTCCACAAAATATCAAGCAACATTTTCATGATTTTTATAAAATAATTAAAATCAGTCGATACACATATATTAATCAATAAATGAAAATGAAAATCATTCATGATTTTTCGACGAAAAAAATCTTATTATAGATTTGATCTTGTCAGAACCATTTGAACCCTTCTTTTTGTCCGTGTGAGAAAATTCGAATTCCCATTCAAAAAAAAAAAAAAAATCTGACGTAATTTAGAGATGGCCTCTTTCCAGAAGCAACTTTATCACGACGGGATTTAGAAAACAGGAATTAGAGAGAGAGAGAGAGAGAGTCGCGCGCTTTGTTTTACTCAATTAGTCAAAACAAACCGTCGCGAATCTCTCAGATTTGTCCGAATGTTTCGGAGGGGGCGAATGTATAATTGAACGATCCCAGCCCGCTTGTCTTTCGAAGCACATTCGTAACAGAGCTTTGCGCGAGAAAATCGAGATTCGCCGACGCGACGCGACGCGACGTGACGCCGGGGATTCTCATGTATTTGTGACTAGCACCGAGGGAATTGCAGCTGCAAGCTGCAAGAGAGAAAGAGAGACCCTTTGCCACTCAATTCTCCAGAATTCGTGCTCGCAAGAAGCTCTCTCGCTTCAAGTCCAGGGAGTTTACGTTTTCCACTTTTAATGAGGCGATGCGAATTTTATAGAGGGCTTCGCGTGCGTGTTTTGCGAACGCGCTCGATTTGCCTTTTTACGTGCTTAATCGTGGCTTTGATTCACTCGGCCCCTCTGTAAATTGGCGAACTAATTGCGCCAGTGGATTGCTGTGTTTTAGCTCTCTTTTTCACTGGCGAACGTTAATGAATCGCGCGCGAAAATATTAAAAAAAAAAACACACATACCGCTTATTTAAATACGAAAAATGTTTGATAAAAAAACGAATATGTGCGAATTTGAACACGCTTGTGTGTCCACTGTTTTAGAGATTAGGTACGCGTGATTTTTACATTTTTGTAATATTCGGCTCTGGCTTACGGTTTCGCACGCAAAAAAAATATATAGGCGAAATGATTGTATAACTGTGATTTATATTATTTTTTTATTATCGTTTTATTAATTCTTTTATCCCATTTTTTATCGGAAAAAGTAATAATATAACAATTTTCAAACTTTATTTATATTTTATTTTATTACAATATTATAAATACTTTTATGTTGTTTTATCTTCAAGAAGTTTTAGTTTCGAGAAGTTAGAATACAATATTTTGCAAATTTTATTTTTAATTTCGCTTCCAATTTCATGAATTGTCAGACAAATATGATTTTCTACATTTGATTATATAGTAGACATCTCTATAATTCGATAAAGATAATTAGCGAGATAATTCCAACGAGACGCTATTTTTGTTCCGTTTATTATAAAAATTTTTTTTAAAAATTTTAAGGTGTTTTTAAAACATTTAAAATTTTTTTGAAAGGATAATATACGCAAAATGTAACGTTCGATATTTAGCAAAAAAATGATTTTAATTTTCACTCTAAAATAATTCGGTCTATGAAAAGAAAAACTAATTTTTATTGATAAAAAAAAAAAAAATACAATATACCTTTTTTCGATTCGTATGCGTCCGCCATTGCTCTTGGAACGTAGAACTCAGTCTCGATAGAGCGTTGTAAAAAAATGAGGGCAATATATGTTAATAAATGGCGGTATCGTGGCAGCGAGGGTTTACTTAAACGTCGATGTATGTTTTGGCGGAGTAAATTCGATGTACCTCTTTCCAAGATGATGTCGTTCTTATATATATCGCTTATAAAACGCGACGGAACGTAAATCTCTCCGTTCGGTTTATAGATAAACGTCGTAAAACAGTTATGCCAGTTTAAGAGCAAAACGACTGATCGAGAAAACGGGACCCGGAGGAACGAACGAAATTCACATCCAGGGGGACCGACTTGTTATATCCTTGACGCGAGCGACGAGAACGCAACGATTACACGACTTTCATGGCCCAACTATGGGCTTTAATTGCAGACGCGAACGTGCGCGAAATAAGGAACTATAAGGGACGTTATTAAATCGGAGGTTGTGCGTTGTTTATCCGACGAGATCGAGGGGAGACCGACCTCGTCGGAATACGAATTGCTGCATTGTTAGAAAATAAATCATATTTTATACAGCCAGTTTGATAAGAGACGATGCGCGATATGCGCATTCTTCACGTACGCGAATAATCTTGCCATAAAATGTCAAACACGCAGCTTCGAGGCTCTCAATTTTCAGAAATTGCGCATCAAGAATGCAAATGGGGAAATCTGATTTTTTCATTAAATATGTATAATTATTAATATTATTCATTATATGTAAATGGAATTTTTACGAAGATTCTAATTCCGTGACATCAATAAAACTTTGATATTTTTTGTTTTTATGGAAAGATTTATTTTTATAAAAAATTGGTCTTTTCATAAACTGAATCATTTTAGAGTAAAAATTAAAATTATTTTTTTTTACCAAGAATGTTGAATGTTACATTTTGCATATATTAGTCTTTCGAAAAATTTTTAAGATATTTAAAATTTTTTTTGAAAGGATTATGTATAAGGTTCAATATTTTTGGTAAAAAAGGATTTTAATTTTCACTCTAAAACGATTCGGTTTATGAAAAAACTTATTTTTTTTATGAAAAGGAAAAAATATAATTGTTCTTGTGATTAGGAAGAAAAAATATAGAGTAAAGCAATCGCTATGTTTTT